TTCGGGCACCATTAAACCTCCTGAGCGAGGTGCTTTGTTTCTTATCAAGGTTCAATCTGGTGAAACCAACCTTGGTTTCCTGTAAGCAATTTTCAATGCCAAAGTGTAGTATTGAAGATATTTATTCTTGTCGTTTAACTTTTGACTTCATTGACTTAAGCGTAGAAGAAAATAGTTCTGAGTGATGCAGTAACGTTTTCTTAAGTCTCGACACATAACAAATACCTTATATTTTCACTTTGTAGATTGCTCTGAAAAAAAAAGCCCATTCTCTGTTTATACCTGATTGCACTCGTCTTCTCAAAATGGTTATTCTCCCTTGAGTTCTGTTCATTTTGTGATTTAATGGCATTGAAATAGATCACTTAAGAATTGATGTATTCATTTTTATCGTATTTACATCAGCTGCAGTTCACATTTAAATAGCAGTTTGTTATTGCTGCCTCAATGTTGCTTTCCTCAGCAGCGATTGCTATCATCCTCGTGGTTATATATTGCAATTTCCTACTGCGTTGTTGAAAATCTACTCCTATGAGAAGAGAAAGTGAATTTCTTGGTTCTTCTGTATAGCTGATAATCAAACTGAGCTTCAAGAAAATAGACCATTACCCGGGACTTCTTAATATTCAGCTTCCCAGTGTTCTACCGTAGTCTGTTTTTAATTACAAATTAAACTAAAATTCCCATTCCCTCCTCCTCTTTCTTTTCCTTTATAATTTTACTATTAGTGGATGTGGGAAATAAGTATGTTTAGCGTTACATTTGTCTTGGCAGCAGTCACCACCCATGTTGTCTTCACGTAACGTTTTCTTCGTGCTACCCATGCTACACTAAACTCCCCTTCCAAGATGATCCAGATTTCCTCAGTTGTCCCATTGAACCATTTGTACAGCTTGAAGATTATTGCTTTTTGAGAACGCTACCAATTTAATCTAAAAATCAACTGAGTTTCACTGTAGTCAGAAAAAATGCACATCCTCTTTTGTACCCAAATCCTCGGAGTCTTAGGAGAAAAAGGCTTTGAAATTAAATGTACAAAGAGTTTTAATGTTTTATGCAGGAGGATAGAATTTTGGGGGCTGAGAAAGAGAAGAGACAAACAAGTGCAATGTGTTTTTTCCAGCTTTTCTGATGCCAGATATGATCACCAGTGCACAAACTCTGACTTTCCTTCTCCCCTTCATATCCCCCCATTGATTTCAGTGGACAGTGACTTGTATTCTCAGCTCTGAAGGTCTCTGCAAATTCATAGAAACAGCCCTAACTTATTCTTTCTGTCTCTGTTTTGGACTGAACAAGTGGGTGGTGAAGAATGAGGCGATGGAGTGAACCGAGCTCAAGTGCTTTGAAAGGTTTTAGAGTTTCAAAATATGCCTTGCACGTTACTTAAGGTTTTATGAAGAAATTCAGCTGTTTGCTCTGCAGATGCAAAGCTGCTGAAGAAATGCTTGGAAAAGGAGAACTTGCTGGCTCTATATTTAGAAATAAATAAAAAGAGATTGCTATGAAAGGTGTTCTATGGTCTGCTACATGAACAGGATTAACCATTTATTTAATATTTCTGTGTAGTACCAACCTCTTGGTACAGAGCCTGTAAATGTCAGATTTCTTAATTAATCTGATAGTCCATGGCCTACCTTTAAATAAATTAATATGCCTTAAGATTATTTGCTAAGAATATTGTGTATATTCTTAATCAAAACATTCAGTCTGGTATAGAAACCATCCAGCAGTTCTCTCCATTTTATTTTGGGAAGTTACTACATTGTGAGTGGCTAGACAAAGAAAATCCAATTGATAGCAATAGAGATACGAGAGATTAAGGAGCTTGGTACTCTTTACCTCCCTATAAATCCATAGATTTTTGTATACTCTAAAGCAATTTTGTGATATTTTTTATATATATATATTGTGTATAATGTTAGGTGGGATTAGGATCAAGACAGTTCCCAATGGGAGCCTTTTGTCTCATCATTAACCTGAAGTAGTTCTCCCTTCGAGAGAAGGGAGTGTTGATCTGCCTGAGGGTAGGAAGGCTCTGCAGAGGGACCTGGATGGGCTGAATCCAAGGGCTGAGGCCAATGGGATGAGCTTCAACAAGGCCAAGGGCCGGGTCCTGCACTTGGGGCACAGTAACCCCATGGACGCTACAGGGGATGAGTGACTGGAAAGGACCTGGGGTGTTGGTGGCAGCAATGCCCATGAGCCAGCAATGTGCCCTTGAGCCAAGAAGGCCAACGCCATCCTGGGCTGGATGAGAAGGGGTGGTTGTAGGGCAGAGAGGTTCTCCTGCCCCTCTGCTCTGCCCTGCTCACACCACAGCTGCAATCTTGTGTCCAGTGCTGGGCCCTCAGCTCAAGAAGGACAGGAACTGCTTGAAAGAGTCCAGCAGGGCCACAGAGATGCTGGAGGGAGTGGAGCATCTCCTGCTGAGGAGCGGCTGAGGGAGCTGGGGCTCTTGAGCTTGGAGCAGAGGAGCCTGAGGGGTGCCCTCATTCCTGGGGATCCATTGGGAAAGGGCAGTGTCAGGAGGAAGGAGCCAGGCTCTGCTCTGGGATGGCCAATGCCAGGACAAGGGGCAATGGTCCCAAGCTGGAGCACAGGAGGTTCAAGCTGAAGATGAGGCCAAAGTTTGTGAGTGTGAGGGTTCTGGAGCATGGCCCAGGCTGCCCAGAGAGGTTGTGGAGTCTCCTTGTGTGGAGACACCCAAAGCCCTGGCCGTGTTCCTGTGTGACTGCTCTGGTGATCCTGCTGTGGCAGGGGTTGCACTGGGGGAGCTTTCCAGGGCCCTTCCAACTCCTTGCATTCTGGGATTCTTAGGTGATGCTGGTTGTCTGCGTGTATTGCCCAGTGCTGACCAACCCCAATCAGTTTGCTGAAGGTTCAGAGTAGAACAAGGTTTTAATGCACGGCCTCAGAATCCTCTGTATAATTTAGCGTATTTTCACAGTTTTGCATGTTTATGTCATTCTTTTTATCCACATACCAACAAATGTCTTGTCGTCAGTCTCCAGGTATTACCATAGTAGGAGTAACATGGACCACCTGAATTCATACACAGTGTGCACGCTGTAGATGTGTATGTGTATCTGTATATCAATTTAAAATATAGCCCAGCTCTCATGTACAAACAAAAGCATTGGGAGGCAGTGAATCCTACTGATAAATTCTGATAAATACTGATAAATCCTGAGTCTTTTGGAAAAGTTGACTTCTTTTTTTCCCACTCTGTTGTGTTTCTGATAACTCTTGTGTCTAAATACTCACTTGCTCAGCCAGTAATGCTACACCTTTCGTTTTAGGTTGTTTGCATTTAAAGAATTGCCGAATTTTGATTAGACCAGAAAAAAATAAGCATTTTTTGGTAGTTTCTGTTGTTTATTTTTCTTCTGCAGTGCTTCATCACCTGCCATTCCTTGCAGTAAAACTCCCTGCCCATGTTAATGGGAATTGAGACTGCTTTGACTCTCTAGTGACTGGTGCCATATTACCAGGGCCATGTATTGATTTGGTCGACTGCCGACGTGCGATGCATGACAGGAATGAGAAATTGAACTTTCTGAATGTGAAGTAAATCATGCAGCTGGTGATATAGAAATGATTTAGGGAAAAGCAATCAATCAGACTCTGTTCTGGTAGCAGTGCTACATACAATTTAATATATAGTAAAACAGCAGTTCATTTACAGTCTATATCAAATGGTGTCTTGTGCTAAATTCTGTTACAAAAATGACTTGCAGCGTTTACTTTCTACGTGACTGACGCGGGACCTGATAATTTAGAAATATTGATCTGATGTTCATTAATTCTGCCTTTTTCCTGTTAAGAGCCATAGATTATTCTTTCTAGTCTACTTATTACTGTTCTAAATTGGTCACTCTTTAAATAATTCAAACCTGTAAGTAGAGTTGTTTTGAGCCCCAAATACCTGCAGATGGAGTTTCTTACAGCCACAGGTAACCGGATGGTAATAGCTGTAAAACATCCACTGGGGACATGAATAGACCCTTTCTCTCTCCTGGCAGATGTTTTGCAGACATTAGACTTATCTCCAATTATCTCTGGGTACTTTAGCAGTACACAGTAACATTCATTTGCAGATGACTGTAATATTCTTTTCTCTCTTTCTCCACGTTATGAAATGAATGGGACAATTTGTCCTTCTTGGAAAGAGAGAAGTATTTTAATGAAAGCTCGAAGAGACTTCCTGAAGTAATTCTCATCGATCCCTACTAACGAGTCCCGTCATTCAGTGTCAAAGTCTCAGCTTAGCATTTCCCCAGGGTGGTTTTTGGGGTTTTTTTTTTTGCAGGTGATGGGGTTTTTTTGTTTGGTTGCAGTTTTGGGGCTATATTTTTGCCCTCCAGAGCGATGGCCATTGCACTGCATTGCTACAGCTGCTTTTTACAAGGGCCTTACTGAACGTGGCTGTCTTGTTGCAAGCCGTTTTCAGAAAGAGATTGATGCTGGGTTTTTTAAGTAAAATCTAAACGAGTTTGAAGCTGAGTTTGTCCTTTTCCTCCATAGTCAGATTATAAACTGCATAGTGTACAGAGCAAATATCATGAGATAACTGTACGCTTCTCTCTTACCCGTATTACTCTCGCTGTCCTCTTTCCTATGCTGCTCATGGTCATGTTCCTGAAAACAGTGCCGATGATTCAGCAAACCCACCCTGTTTTATCCAGCCTTGGCATCAGACGTTACCTTAATGCACAGTTACGATCTATACATGGGATATGTATAGTCTGAATTTGTTTTTAAAGGTTTGCTTATTAATATATTGATATATCTTTAAATATATATATTAAAATACACCTAGGATTGCCATTTGAAATTCTATGTAGAATTACCTGAGTCTGCATGTTTATATATATTATGTTATTCATGGTTTAGTTTTAGAAATATAGCTGAAGTAATTTTCTGACTTAATTCTCTGGACTGTTCTCCACGATGTCAGAAGCGATGTGCGTTTTAACTGTGTGCTCCTGTTTTTGTAGATGGCTACACAACGGATGACATTGAATTTTACTGGCGTGGGGGTGATAACGCGGTCACAGGAGTCACAAAGATCGAACTGCCCCAGTTCTCAATCGTAGACTACAAGCTTATCACCAAGAATGTTGTTTTCTCTACAGGTTTGTGGAGGGGAAGCTAAAAGGGGACTTCACGGGGAAGACTTTTAGGAATGGGTTCATTCTCAATGTGAGGTTCAGGATCTGAGCAAGAAAGATTATAAACAGGAAAAGATCAGAGCGGCAATGGTGAATTTTGAAAGAGCAGCTTTCATTAAAGCTCTCACAGCGTATAAGCATCACTCCTTAACATATGCAGAGGATGCAGTGGTCTGTCATGGTACAGCTCAGTCAAATACGCTGTGTTTTCTGCTTTCCTATGAAAACTGCTTAAGCCACTGACGCACCTCAGTGCTCTAAACCCAACAAGAAGTAACCCAGCCTGCAGGAAGTTCAGGAACCTTTCTCTCGCCGTTTCTAGGTGTGCCTTGTGCCAGGCTGTGAATGTGTTACACTCATTATTTTGTCTTGGCTGTAAAGCCTTTAAAGTCCTTGTTCCACAGGATTTGTTGTTTAGCCGGTGCTAGCAAGGATGTGACTTTCTGAAGGCTGAAAAGATGCTTTGTGAGGAGGAGGAGAAAATAAGGTTGAATTTCATAAAATAGCTAAAAAACCCAACAAACAATAGTTCATTAAATCATTCAAGAGAGCCAAGAGTTGGGTTGGGCTGTTGCTATGTGGTGTTCTCTACCTCATGAGAAAGCTGCTAGTTGTGTTTCAAAAAAAGTATTCACTTTCTAGATACGGATAGAAAGCATCTTTGGAGGGAGTATAGAAGAGAAATGCATCCCAAACTCTTCAAAACCAAGCATTTTTGACTATTGATTGTGGAGTATGATCATTACCAGTAGATACACACCTAGAGCATCCTTGTACCCTTAGAATAAAGGGTTATTTAATCCCAGTTCTTGCTAGAAATTCAGCAGCTGATTATCCTGGATCTTTCAGCTCTGTGCGTACTCTGTGTTGCATGAAACAATGAAACCAAAAATGACAGAAAAATGTTTTTGGGCTTTCTACGAGTAAATTACGGCCATACCAAATATTCTCTTTTAGGTGCCTACCCAAGGCTGTCTCTCAGCTTTAAACTTAAGAGAAACATTGGTTACTTCATTCTGCAGACCTACATGCCTTCTATTCTGATCACTATCCTGTCCTGGGTTTCCTTCTGGATTAATTATGACGCTTCAGCTGCAAGAGTTGCTTTAGGTAGGCATTTTTACACATCTCACGCAGTGCGGTAGCTGAACGCTTTTCCTGGCTTCTGGCTTAGCGGATAGTGCATGGTTTGGGAAATAAGATCTTTGGATGTCTGGCTTGTTAAGCTTTGTGTTATTTGAACCAGCATTTAAATCATCGCAATTTAAATAAAAATGGAAGTGATTTCCTGTCTGAATTAGCTAACTGTGTAATCATTGTAACCAGAATTAGCCTAATTGTCTCAGCGTTTTCTGTGGTTGTTTTACTGCTTGTTTTTCTCCAAAGAGAATGCATTTAGTTTGCTTTTGCCCATGGCAGTCCAGAATACACATTCAGACTGTGTTAGGGGTGATAAATTGTGATTTCTTTCAGGTATAATTTCAATAAAGTTTTACTGGGGTTTTATCGCTAACTTCTTAAGTTGAGGGCTTTTTTCCTTACTGTTACCTTACATTCGAAAAGCAAAACCATTTCCCTAATTAATCTCTAGAGCACTCTTGTATCTCATCACTAATCCCATGTGTGTTTGTTTATACTGTGCCCCTCTTCGGAGGATCCAAGCACGTTACGAAAATAAAGATAAATAGCTATTGCCAAGTTGTGGATAAATCAGACCGATTCCTATAGATAAAATATGTGAATCATTGTAAAAGATTGAATTGACAATTTGACATTTAACTTTATGGAATAGCATCTGAGTTTTACCAGGCCTTTCTGTGTAGCATTTTCCCTTAAGAATTTGAAGCTGCAGACATCCTGAAAATGCTGGAGGAAAGCAAAATAACAGTGTCTGTGGGCTGGTGATTTATGTGACTGAGTTTCATTAGAGAAGGTTACAGTTTAGCTGGTTAAAAACACAGAATCTAACTACTCCTTGTTTGATTGAATGCAATTTATTACACGTGTAATTTTTATTGCTGCATTAAATAAAAATAAAGGCAATGATAAGGAATATGGACAGAGTCTGGGTTTTTTTCACCAGGAAAAGAAATCTCCTAGAACATTTCAGCTCTGGCATTTGAATATTATGAACCATTATGCTCAAAAATTACACTGTATTCCATCAACGGACTTGCCAACTCTTTTTTTCCAGGAATCACAACCGTGCTGACAATGACAACGATTAACACCCATCTTCGAGAGACTCTCCCCAAAATTCCATATGTGAAAGCCATTGACATGTACCTCATGGGTTGCTTTGTCTTCGTTTTCATGGCCCTGCTGGAGTACGCGTTGGTCAACTACATCTTCTTTGGCAGGGGACCTCAGCGTCAAAAGAAAGCGGCCGAAAAAGCCGCCAGCGCCAACAACGAGAAGTTGCGAATGGACGTCAATAAGGTAAATTGAAGCGGGGATGTATTTTTAGCGTTGCCCCAGGAAAAGGCAGACTTTCACTTCTGCCAGACAGAGCTTTAAAATGTAATTTATTGTAGAACGGAGTGGAGTGGGATTATGGTGATCTTGTCTTAGCTGTGCGGAGCAGTGTGCTTAGCCACCTCCGCGATGAATGCTGCCCTCTAGCCTGGAAAACTGAATGAATTTTCTCTAAAGCATGCACTCAGATAAGCTTGACCGTGAGGTGTTTGCTCAGTCAGGACGTAGAGTTAAACATGTCTCATCTGTTTCCAAAGGAACAAATCCAAAATGATGGCTATAGCTGATATTCTAGTGAGAGCTGTATGGAACGTTGGATATAAACCCTAAATTTAACCCATTTCATCGATCTTTCAGATGACCTGGATAAGAAATACTTGTTGTAGAAGTATTTAAAGCTTGGGAAGTTTGCATATTTTCAGCGTATAGTGGCCCAGGTTATTGCTGGCTAAATGAGAAACTGCTCGAAAATAAAGCACCGACTTGATGTGCACTTAATTTTCAATCTGAAAACGGTCCCCTGGGGATGGAGAATTGAGGCAGAAAATACATTTGCCACGATACACATTTTTGCAAAAAAACCAACATCCATTATGCTTAATGAAAATGGAGCACTTCTCATACAGCACTTGTCGTTTTTCACTTTGACCATTCTGGATGAGTTTCGCACAGTGGCAAATCTGGGCTGAATGCTGAAATGTACCCAGTGTGAAATGCGGGAACTTTCCCACGTGTGTGAAATTGGAAAGTTAAATGAAGTTAAATTATGGTTTGGTTTTCTTCCTTTTGGCATGGGAAGCTTTTTGAATTTGTACTTCGGCATCATACTCCAAGGGGGGAAAAATCTAAATCAGAATTAAAAATAAATCTCGATGTAAAAAAACCCCAAAATGATTATTTGTGAAGGGGAAACGCAAGTTTCATACAGCTCCAGTGGTGGAATTTCTCGTGTTTGTTCAGAACTTCTGCGCTACCGTGGTGTGCCTGCAGACAGAAGAGCGTTTTGTTCTGTTTTTTACTGAAACAACATTAAAAATTACATGTTGATAGCATAAACCAATTAATTTCACTCATTTTTTATAGGTTATAGTCTTTTAAGTTGAAGGATTATATTGTCGTGGCTCAGATCTCACCCTTTCGTTAACTTATTTTTGTCTTTTTAATTTGAGAGAAGCACGTTTCAATGGATGAAGGCAAATGCACAATGATGAGAGTAGTTTGGATGCTATTAGATCACCTTTCAGCATTGTAAAGTCAATGGAGATATATTTTTTCTTTCTATGGGTGATTTTTCAGCAATGTAAAATAAGGTGCAAGCTTTTCTTTAATTTGCCAAGTTTATTTTTAAGATAATCAGTTTCCCTTTAAGCAATCCAAACTATTAACTAAGAAACCACGTAGGAGATTTTCTGAGACCAGATCTGTGTTTGCCTGATGTCTTTCCTCTAACATCAATGGACATTTAAGGTCCATAGGTGTCAGTGTCACCACTGTACCTAGCTGAGGTATATTTTTATGTATCATTTCACTTGTCATTATTTTCTCTATATTTATCCATACAATAGATCTTTCAGCCATGTAAGGGAATAGCCAAGTGGAGTGGCAATTTGCTAATCATGAACCAGAGACTGAAAGCACAAACTGGTGTCCAGAAAGCAGAATAAATAAATACCCATAACTTGCAGAAATTCACAGGACTAACACAAAGGGTACTGCGAACTTAACATTATTTATATTTTTTTTCTAGAGTGAGCCTTTTGCTTAATATGCCAGGCCAGCACGGCTCATCTCTGGCTGTTCCGCTGTGCTATCCGGACAGGCTCTGATCTGATAATCAGGTCTGCAATCCCTTAAGCAATGGATGGAAAATCAAATAGGGGAGGATCAGGAAGGAGCAGCGGCTGCAGACGCTGTCCTGCTGTGCAACGGCTGCCTTGGGGAGGAGCAGATTCGTATTTAATGAATATTTTATCTTTGAAAGGGGGCCAAATATTATATCATTATTTTCAAGCATAAGAACCAGAAATGGGCCTGAACTGCTGGGATGCGGGTTTTCATGACAACCCAAGTATTTTAGAAATGGGACCTAATGAATACTCCATGTCTAATTAAGACCCAACAGTGAAGGATTAGTTTTAAGAAGTGTGAGCATTCTTTTGTGATATTGCTAGATTCCTCTTGTATCACTACACGAAATGCTGTGTTTAAGTTTGTGATTTCAGATACTATGTGAGAAAAGAATAATGCCATGAGTAAATAACCTCAAAACATGAGCATGAAAACGTCTGTACAGCTCTGTTACTGCATTCAGCATAGACACTGGAAAAATCACAGAATCACAGAATCCCAGACCGTCAGGAATTGGAAGGGACCTCCAAAGCTCATCCAGTCCAATCCCCCTGCCGGAGCAGGAACACCCAGATGAGGTTGCACAGGAAGGCGTCCAGGCGGGTTTTGAATGTCTGCAGAGAAGGAGACTCCACAACCTCTCTGGGCAGCCTGGGCCATGCTCTGTCACCCTCACTGAGAAGAAGTTTCTTCTCCAATTGAAGTGGAACCTCCTGTGTTCCAGTTTGTGTCCGTTACCCCTTGTCCTATCATTGTTTGTCACCGAGAAGAGCCTGGCTCCATCCTCGTGACACTCACCCTTTAAATATTTATAGACATGAATGAGGTCTCCCCTCAGTCTCCTCTTCTGCAAACTAAAGAGCCCCAGCTCCCTCAGCTGCTCCTCATAAGGGAGATGCTCCACTCCCTTGATCATCTTTGTAGCCCTACGCTGGACTCTCTCCAGCAGTTCCTGTCCTTCTTGAACTGAGGGCCCAGAACTGGACGCAATATTCCAGATGCGTCTGAAAAAAGGGAAGGATTGGAGCTGTTGCTTGCAGTGGAGCATCTTTGTTTCTACCTTAGAGACCAGCAAATCGTAATAGATTTCTTCACCTTCCAACACCAATTTTTATAGCAGCATCTCACAGCTTTCTGACCAACAAAAGGTGATGAGAAGTGCTGATCAGTCCTTCCCTCCACAACTACTTGCCTCTGTGGCAAGCGCAGCCATTGGTAGTCTCTCTATTTTTGCCCAGTGACGCTCAGATGTTACCTATGGAAACACAACAGAGCTGTTCTTCCGTGACTGTGTTTGCTGAACCCAGGGTAATACCTTGGAGGTTTGATGACTTTGGAAAAAACAGGACTTCCTTCTCCTTTCCAGCGAACGCCCTCGAGCTGCCTGCAGAGCTTCCCCCGAGCGATTCCACCTGAAACCGTGGCCAAAATTTCACATTGTATTTATGTCACATACCCAATGTGGGGGTTTTCTTTTGGGTTTTTTTAGAATCATAGAACAGTTTGGGTTGGAAGGGACCTTTAAAGGTCACCCAGTCCAACCCTGCCCTGCAGTGAACAGGGACATCTTCAACCAGATCAGGTTCCTCAGAGCGTCATCCAACCTGACCTTAAATGTTTTAGGGTCTGGGAAATGTGCCCCCTCTCTGGGCAACCTGTGCCAGTGTTTCATGACTTTCTTCATAAGAGAATTCTTCCTTATATCAAATGTGGATCACCACAGAAAATGTTATCTTCATATACTCCTTCACTTTCAGAGATTGTTAGCTCTGGTTGGGGTAAAGGAAAGGAAGAGAAGGGATTGGGCCTGATTTTCTTCTTGAATTCTGAGACCTGAGTAATAAAACAATGGAGAAATATATATATATATAAAGGGCATAAAAATCAAGGAAAAATCAGACTCTGTTACCAGCAGATTGGTTATCACAGACTTGTTAAGACATATTGGACATGCTCAGCTTTCTTTGCAGTGACTCCAGGTTAAGATGGCTCTGCCTATGATCCTTCCACTCTTGAAGCTTCTTAGACTGCAGTTTGTTCCTTTAGTCTAACTCATCATCTTTTCCTTTCATCAGGGTTAATTGTTCTCACTGTAAACAGCCTAATTTTGGCTCACAGGTAAATCACTGGCTTCCTTCTTACTCCAGGCATCATTTATTGGAGAGAGCATTCACGTCATTTACCTCTCTTCTCAAGCCTGTCATCTGATGTTATTTCTTCTTCAATTATCTTTGTAGTCACAAGTTTTTGAATCTCTCCTGTTCCGTATGGCAAAGTAGTGCAA